GACTTAAGATACATGGAATATCTTCTCTCTCTTTTTTTTTTAACATATAATGTATTATTTGTTTCAGAGGTACAGGTCTGTGATTCAACAGTCTTAGAAAAATGAACGGGGGAGAATCAAAGGGGGAGATGAACCATGGGAGACGATGGACTCTGAGAAACAAACTGAGGGTTCTAGAGGGGAGGGGGTGGGTGGATGCATTAACCTGGTGATGGGTATTAAAGAGGGCACGTTCTGCATGGAGCACTGGGTGTTATACACAAACAATGAATCATGGAACACTACATCTAAAACTAATGATGTAATGTATGGTGATTAACATAACATAATAAAATAAAATTTAAAAAAAGATACATAGAATAAGAAGAACAGGCAAAGGATGAGATGAGATGCCAGAAAGGTTGAAGAAAAACTAAAAGTGTTGTGATAAAACATTGACAGGATATTTCAAGATGGAGGGGATAGTGAATAGTGTCAGATGCTGCTGAGAAGTCCAGCAAGGGTGGGGCATGGACTTCATTGGTAATGTTAGCAAAAGCTGCTTTGGTGTAAAGTTGAGGACAGAAATGAGATTAGCCTGGGTTAAAGGATAAGCAGGACATGAGAAGCATGTACGTGGTGTAGACAACTACATATCTAATTTAGACTAGAAACTATTTGAGCCATTTTAATTGTTTAAATATTGAAGGAGTAAACTTTTTAAAAGGCTAGGTTGAAGACAAAGGCAAGAAAGAGAATAAATGATTATGAAAGATACCTGACAAGATTGGAAGATTTGAGAGAGAGGGATGGGTTTGTTTTTGGATCCAGATACAAAAGGGATTTTTTTCCCTTTTTTTCTAATTATACACACACACACATACACACACACACACAGAAGTGATAGCTGTCTCACATGATTTCACACACAATGCCTTTGAATTTCTGTGTGAAGTGAAATGAAAGATTATCTGTTGAGAGAAAAAGAGTTGGAGTTGGTGGATGTGCTTGGAGAAAAGCAGGAAAAAAAGTCATCCAGGGAGACTGAGCTGAACAAGATCATGTTGTTGGGTCATTCGGCAGTGTTGTGGGTGAAGTTTAAGGTTGATGATCGTGAAATTAAGGGAACATAAACATGTCTAGTTAAGTGCCTTCCTGTCTTAATCTGAAGAACTTATTAGGGTGGTGAATCTAGGAGTTGAGTTTTGCATTCATACATGATGGGAGCAAAGGCGAGCAAAATATGTATGAGAGAGTTGTTGACATGATGAATCAGAATTTAATCTAGAAAAGAGGAATGAAAAGACACCAGGATAGTGAATGAAAGTAGCGAAAAAGTCAATGCCCTGAGGGCTCAGGGTTGTTGAAGAACACATTGGTAATCACTGAACCGCATAGCTGAGCAGATACGGTTAGCATGTGTAAATGTGTGATAATGAGGCCAGTGAATTCTAAGTAAAAGTTCTTCAAGATAGAATCCTAGAATTGGGTACCTGACCTTTCAGGAACAAAATGAAGCTACTCAAGATGATATTATACCTTGGGGGCACCTGAGTGGCTCAGTCGTTAAGCGTCTGCCTTCGGCTCAGGTCATGATCCCAGGGTCCTGGGATCGAGCCCCGCATCGGGCTCCCTGCTCCGCAGGAAGCCTGCTTCTCCCTCTGCCATTCCCCCTGCTTGTATTCCCTCTCTCACTGTGTCTCTCTCTGTCAAATAAATAAAATCTTAAAAAAAAAAAAAGGTGATATTATACCTTGAGGGAAAAGGTTGGGATAGGCGACTGACAAGGATGTTACACTTGCTGTGAAATGATTATCACAATATGCCTAGTTACACCTATCACCATGCATAGTTGGAATTTTTTTTTGTGGTAAGAATTTTGAAGATCTATTCTCTTGGCAAGTTTCAAATATATAATATATTATTATTAACCTGAGTCACCATACTGTACATTCCATCCCCAGGACTCATTTATTTTATAACTGGAATTTTGTGCATTTGACCACCTTTACCCATTTCACTAACACCCGCCTCCACCTCTGTTTATCACCAACCTGTTCTCGGTGTCTGAATTCCATGATTTCATGTTGTCGTTGCGTTTGCGGTTATAGATTAGACACACACAGCATTTGTCTGTAGGTTCATAAGGGATTTGTCTGTGTTTTCTTCATGTGACTTAATTTTATATCTTCTGCTATATAGATATCATGTATGTGTCACGTGCCATATACCCTATGGAGAATTTTTTTTATTACATGACAGTTTATGTAAAGACTTACTTCTCATGCAGCCTGTGGCAGGTTACTTAACTTCTCTGTGCCTCCATTTCTGCATCTTTGAAATGTAGGCCACATTATTATCTGTCTCACAGGGTTTTTAAGAGGATTATAGAAGTGATTTCATGTAAAGAGTTTTAGACTTGCGTAGTGTACTGAAGGTTTCCAAAAATATTTGTTTTGTTAGAGAGGTTGCTTGTTTGCTTTTATCTTTTTTTTTTTTTTAATTTTTTTATTCTTATGTTAATCCCCATACATTACAACATTAGTTTTAGATGAAATGTTCCATGATTCATTGTTTGTGCACAACACCCAGTGCTCCATGCAGAATGTGCCCTCCTCAATACCCACCACCAGGCTAACCCATCCTCCCACCCCCCTCCCCTCTAGAACCCTGTTTGTTTTTCAGAATCCATCGTCTCTCATGGTTCGTCTACCTCTCCGATTTCCCCCGCTTCATTCTTCCCCTCCTGCTACCTTCTTCTTCTTCTTTTTTTTTTTTCTTAACATATATTGCATTATTTGTTTCAGAGGTACAGATCTGAGATTCAACAGTCTTGCACAATTCACAGCGCTTACCAGAGCACATACCCTCCCCAGTGTCTATCACCCAGTCACCCCATCCCTCCCACCCCACCCCCCACTCCAACAACACTCAGTTTGTTTCCTGCGATTAAGAATTCCTCATATCAGTGAGATCATATGATACATGTCTTTCTCTGTTTGACTTATTTCACTCAACATAATACCCTCCAGTTCCATCCACGTCGTTGCAAATGGCAAGATCTCATTCCTTTTGATGGCTGCATAATATTCCATTGTATATATATACCACATCTTCTTTATCCATTCATCTGTCGATGGACATCTTGGCTCTTTCCACAGTTTGGCTATTGTGGACATTGCTTGTTTGCTTTTATCTTGACCTGAGATTTAGAATGTATCGATTCCATATTTTTTCCACTAGAGGTCCCTCAATTACTCTCTTCGAATACATGTCTTTGACAGTTTCTTTTCTTTTTTTTCTTTTTCCCCCCTTTTTTTTAAGCCACATGTTTATGGTTTGGGGAAGAGGTACCACAGAAGTTTAAATCACACAATTTGGAGTCAGAAGTACCTGGATTTGGGTCTTACTGAACTTACCTTCTATGTTAGTCTCTATAATAGGGGTATAATAATGCTGCTTGTATCATAGTGCTATTGTGGGTAGTTTATTTTCATTCAAAATATTGTAAAGATTCTTTTTTCTTATTCTAGGAAACAATGATGATAAATGGGCTAAAGTTACAATAAATGTCAATCACAACATGCTTACATATAAGTTAACCCTCCTAAAATATTATTTTAAAATGTAATAATATCAGTACATATTTTTTTTTAAAGGACACTTGAACCAATTTCTTCATTCAGTACTAAGAGGGGGCTGGAGGCTGAGTTGCATATCCACTTCCATACTGTGCTCCATGGTGGGGCACCAAACATCAGTCTCAGAGAACATTCTGGTCTGCAAATCCCAGCTGCTATAGTGTAAGGGGTATCAGGAGAGTAACTGCAATCAGCATAGGGTTAGTGTGCTGGACACACTGCAGTTTGAGTGTTAGGTTTTCCATATTGACTTCCCTACCTCCCAGGCCCCTTCTCAGTGCTTGGCATCTAACAGTGTGTCTCCTGAGCAATCCCCTGGTGTGGCACTGAAGCATAATGGAGGATTAGCTGTGGACTGGAATGATCTTGGCTCTCTGCCCGTTATCCAAGATGAGATCTTGGGTAAGATTATGTCTCAGAGTTTCAGATTCTGTAAAAAAAAATATAGGGGGATAAAAATACATATCTCAGGCCATATCCACAGCCGTGCTGAAGCATGAGTTCTCTGTGGACATGACCTGGGAAGGCTGCTCTAAAGCTGTGAGTAGAGTGCTCAACAAGCTGGGGAGAATTGAGTTTGACCTTGACCTGCCCATCAACTCCATCAACTCTGAGCACAGTACAAACACTCTGCTGGAGACCCTGGGGAAAACAGAAAAGGCTCATTCTTACCTGGGCCCCAAGAAATGAGGGCTTGGACTCCTGGTCCCAAAATGGACCAAGAGGGCAGGACGCTGATCCTCTCCTGCCTTCCAGATAGATGTGAGCCTGGCAGTCCCACTCAGTGATGGGAGTTCCTGCAGACACCCTCACTTGCTCTGCTCCTTCATAGCTTCCCTATAATAAATTAGAGCTGTTTTTGTTGGAAAGAAAATACATATCTCAGAAATCTGTTCTAAATGAGCTAATACTTTGTAAAGCTTGGACTACAATAGGAGTCATAATTGTTATCTCCTTATTTTTCCAATTGTGCCCCACTTTCTTCGTTTCTTTCTTTCTCTGCATGTGGTTAAATTGTTTTTCTCTATACTCAAGTCTATATAGAAACTAATTACTTTGACCCAGGGAACACTCAATCATTACATGGAAATAAAATAGTATGCAGGTTGAAGATTCCAGAGGAACTGAGTGATGAGTACCAGGAGTGTCATGTCTGGGGTATCTTTCTTTCTTTCTTCTTCTTTTTTTTTAATGGGGAATCACTCATCAAGGCATGAATATTGCCTTTACTAGGACTGGGAGGTTTTTCTTGGTAGATAGGAAAGAGGAGAACTAACCTGAAGGAGAGGGTGAAGGAAGAATTACCATACAATTTACTCAGGTTCATTATACACAATTTGTTTTTCAGATACAGAATCCATTCCTCAGACCACACTGACCATGTATAACCTGAGTAGCTATGACACAAGTGACTTTACCTTTTTGGGCATCCCTGGCCTTGAACAGTACCATGTCTGGATCAGCATCCCCTTCTGCATTATCTATCTCGTGGCCATTGTGGGCAACAGTATCCTTCTCTACCTCATTGCTGTGGAGAGGAGTCTTCATGCACCCATGTTCTTTTTCCTTTCCATACTAGCCATGACAGATCAGATATTGTCTACCACATGTGTCCCCAAAACCCTTGCCATCTTCTGGTTTGGTCCCCAGAAAATCAGTTTTCCTGGTTGCCTCACCCAGTTATTCTTTCTGCACTACAACTTTGCCCTGGACTCAGCTATACTCCTGGCCATGGCATTTGACCGCCACGTGGCTATCTGCTCCCCCCTGAGATACACCACTATTCTGACCCCCGAGACCATCATCAAGATTGCAGTGGGCATCTCCTTTCGAAGCTTCAGCATCATCCTGCCAGTTGTATTGCTGCTCATACGTCTCCCTTTCTGCAGGACACACATCATCCCTCACACATACTGTGAGCACATAGGTGTATCCGGCTCGCCTGTGCTGACATCTCTGTCAACATCTGGTATGGCTTTTGTGTTCCCATCATGACGGTCATCTCAGATGTGATTCTCATTGCTGTCTCCTACCCCCTCATCCTCTGTGCGGTCTCCCACCTCCCCTCCTGGGATGCCCGCCAGAAGGCCCTTGGCACCTGTGGTTCCCATGTCTGTGTCATTTTCATATTTTATACACCTGCCTTTTTCTCCATCCTTGCGTATCGCTTTGGACACAATGTCTCGCACTTTCCACATCATGTTTGCCAACTTCTACATTGTTATCCCACCTGCACTCAACCCCATTGTCTATGGAGTGAAGAGCAAGCAGATCAGAGGTAAGGTCATACTTTTATTTTCTACCAAGTGTTCAGAATAATGTTCCAATGTGCTTTGGAAAGTTAACCTCATTTTATAGGTGATATTAATGTAGCAAGAAAGAGAAAAAACCTAATTCTATTTTATTTATTTATTTATTTAGAGAGCACAAGTGTGTGTGGGGGGAGACAGAGGGAAGGAGAGAGAGAGAATCTTAAGCAGGCTCCATGCTTAGTGCAGAGCCAGACTCAGGGCTCAATCTCACAACTCTGAGATCATGGCCTGAGTCAAAATCAAGAATCACGCACTTAGGGGCACCTGGGTGGCTCAGTCGTTGAGCGTCTCCCTTCGGCTCAGGTCGTGATTCCAGGGTCCTGGGATCGAGCCCCGCATCAGGCTCCCTGCTCAGCGGGAAGCCTGCTTCTCCCTCTCCCACTCCCCCTGCTTGTGTTCCTGCTCTCGCTATCTCTCTCTCTGTCAAATAAATAAATAAAATCTTAAAAAAAAAAAAATCACACACCTAACCAACTAAGCCACCCAGGTACCCCTAATAAAAAGCTAATTCTATTTAAAGTGAGAATTGTTTGCAGGTGCTTTTGCATACCAGGAAAATGGCATGATCTATATGCAGGAGATGGTTCTCTATATAAAAAATTCCTGATGACCTGATTATGTGTGGAACATGACGTTGTATAGGATATAATGAAGAAGAAGAGGTGAAAACAGAGAGTTGACTTACTTTAAATAGACAAAGGAATACAAATTTGCAAATTGACATTTGCAGCCAATGAGAGAAAAATGTGTTAAGGCAGAAACACTGAAGAAGGGAGATTAAAAGTGAAAATATCAATGAATAATTCATTATTAGGGGGATTTTTAGATGGTTTGAGAAAATTTATGATAATATTCAATACTTATTATTATTCATGATATGTGTCAGCAGTTTCCATTCAATGCCCCCCAACACATGAAATCCTTCAGTAGAAGTACTATGAGCAGCGTGGTCTACCAGCAGTGTTGCAATGAGGAGGAGAGAAGCATAGGTTTCTCAGTGCCAGCATTCTGAACGCTGGTGCTGGTGAAGGAGCATAGCTTCTAGACTCCAACACACATTGAGGAAGGGAGCTGCAGAGATGGTGCTGGAGATTTTGAGCCCGTTCACTGGGATAGTAAAGTGGTCATTTACCTCCACTGGATGGGAGCCCATGGGGCCCTTAGCTACAGGGAGTATTTCCTGGACTGGGAGAGAGAACCAAATACCAGACACAGTAGTGTAGTGCAGGGGGGATAAGCAGAGGAACTCTAGAGTAATGCATGCATGGTAAGATGCATCTAATTGCACAAAGATTTCACTGGAGACAACACTATATATTGTATTTAAAGAAAGATCTAGAGTTCTAGAAATCTAGATTTAGAAATCTTTCATTTGTTGACAATTATCCATTGATTTGGAATTGTTGGTTGAGTATCCACTGTATTGCAATAAGGTTCAAAGTATTCAGAATATTAAGGTAAATAATACAAAGAGACTCTGTTCCGCTTCTATGGAGCTCATAGTCTGAGGAGAGAGATTCACAAGAAACAAGAAAACAAATTCTTTACTTTCAAAGGGTAATGTAACTGATAGAAAAATGAAGTGAATACAGTGATGCACTACAAGTGGGCGATGAGGACAGTGGCAGAGAGGACAGCACAGGCAAAGGTCCTGGGGCTGGAAACAGTGTGACATGACTGTGGAAAGAGCAGAGGTCAGTGTGTCTGGAGCACAGTGAGGTGGGGATAGCAGAGGAGGGAGGAGGAGCATGGCCAGGTCTTGTGGGACTGGAATCAACCAAACTTCATTCTAGGAGGAGGAGACTGAAGCCTGCAGAGTGATTTTTCCAAGGCACACAGCAAGGCAGTTATAAATGTGGAGCTAGAATACAATCTGCCAACCCCCAGTTCAGAGATTTTCCTACTCAACATAACTTCACTCTTGTGAAAACAACTCCAGAGGGAAGGAAAAATATGTAGGAATATCAGAGCCTGTTTTTCTTTTGGTGAAGTCCAGTTGTCTTAAGTCCATCCTACTAAATGAGTGTTCTGTTCTATGTACCATCTTGCTAAATGTGCCTTACAAATATCAGAAGAGATGTACTCTTATTTTCTACTGATTATTTCTATCCTGCTGAGAACATGGATTAGCCAAGAGCTGATTTTTAAAAAATTTACTGAAGGAATCTAAGTAAATGGATTCTGAGCTAATTTATAAGTACACACTCATTTCATCTGGGTAGGCACTCAAACCCATGGTTATTCATCAACATGCAGGGATGGCTCCCATGAAAGCTTAATGACCTAGAACAAGCAACACAGGCAGGGATTGTCTCCTGCACTGTGTCCCTTACCTTCTCCCACCCTCTATCTCTGGCCCAGTTATCTGTTAATATATTTTTACCATTCCTCTCCAAGGATGTTCATTTATTTCTGTGACTTACGGCCTCTTTGCTGGTAACTCTATATCCTTGAGTTCATATGCAATCTTCCTGATAAATCCTACTGTCTGCATTCCTACCTAATAAGGCCAGTATTAGGATTAAACAAATAATGTAATTCATGTGCTTTGCAGATTGTAAAATACTAATCTAATGTTAGCTGTTAGGTTAATATTCTACTACTTACCACTTGCATTCTCATCTGAGAGGGGAATCTTATTAACATGCTTAACTCTGAGCTGATCATTGTCATTTAAAATCCCTCCTCCACTGGAGGGTATTATGCTAAGTGAAATAAGTCAGTGAGAGAAAGACAAATATCATATGATTTCACCCATATGTGGAATTTAAGAAACAAAAGAGATGGACATAGAGTAAGGGAAGGAAAAATAAAATAAGATGAAAATAGAGAGGGATCAAACCATAAGAGAGTAGGAACTTTAGGAAACAGGGTTGCTGGAGAGGTGGGATGGGTTAACTGAGTGATGGACATTAAGGAGGGCACTTGATGTAATGAGCACTGGGGGTTATATGCAAATGATGAATCACTAGATTCTACCCCTAAACTAATAATACAGTATATGTTAACTAAACTGATTTTAAATAATTAAAAGGAAAATACAATAAAATAAAATCCCCCTCCACTTCGGTGTTTATGGAAGTTGAAAACAGTTTAAGCCTGGTGTTTCTCTTCCCTCAAGGTCAAATCTACTGCCCCCAGATGCCAATGGCTCTTTGTGATGAGGCTGGCTGCAAACACTCTGTTCTAGTGTCAGACCATGGATTACATTCCATGGTCTGGTTGGATTTAAAAGAGAATAGTTATATAAATATCAGCACTAACTTTGTCACATATAAATTGTCTTATCCTATATATTTTTATTTTTACAAATTCCTCATCCTTTATATTAGTTATGAGATATTAAAACAATTCCATTAGGGGAATTGAAAGGTTTTACCTTTCCATCCTCAGAGTTTAGAGCTGCATCCTACAAATGGTAGGGATCCATGAATGTGTCTGTAAACCCTCTCTTCCAGAATTTCCACATTGTTTAGGTGTTTGTGTTTCCATTTGCTCTCTTAGATTTTAGTGCTACTCACTCCATCATCCTGTTTACCCCCACGTTAGCCAGACATTTGCATTGTATTCCTAGACCTGATCGTGCACATTTGTTTTAGCCAATTGCAAGTAGATGTAGTTATTGTGTTCAGCAGAATAATGTAGGCTTTATAAAAATGAGTAATGGAATGGATTTACAGTGTCTCTCTTAGAAAAGAGAAGGCAGTTGGAGATTTTATGCCTTGCACCTGTCATTTTGAACCTATGTTTTAAAATAAATGTATTTATAGGTCATAATTTCAGTTCAGTAACATTCACAAAGTACAGGTTATAGGAAACAAAACACATAGAAATTGGCAGTACTGATATGTAGCAAATACTACCCATGTTGCTTACAATCGGAAAGCTTATAGGTTGGCAAAAGGAATATATCACCTATATAGGTACTTTGGTCGGCTAATCTTATGCATTGTAATGAGTAGCATAGGATGTTAGGGAAGCACAAAGGAAGCATACCCAACCATTCCTCAGAGGCAAGGAAAGCTTTCTGGCAAAGTTTGTTTCTGTGATGGTCTAGAAGAACACAAAACCACTGAGCCTCAAGAATAAGGGGAACAAGACCTGCCAGCCAGAGGGGATTGCCTGAGCCTAAGCAAGAAATCATGTGTTTAAAAAATCTGTTAAGTTTGATCTGCAGGTTGATGGAGGAATCATCCGTAGTGATGATGGCATTGCCCAGGGAAGTTGTAGGGACTGGGCAGTGAGAAATAGGGGGACTCATAAATTGTCTTTGGTGGATTTAGGAAGCTGGTTGGAATATCAGTAGATGAGGCTTGTAAACTATCTCACAGCTTGATGCTATTGTTGGCATTTGGAAGTTAATAATTTATCACACATTCTTTACTTCTTCTTAGAAAATAATTGAGGATAGGTATAAGAGTCAGACAAATTGATATACAAATATGAGCATTATTTCCAGTAGTGTCAAATTCAAGAATGTGATATGAGTGTGTATTCATGTTGCCTTCTTACTATTTTCTTTCCAAGTGTAAACTTGGAAAGACACATCCAAGAGTGGGTCAAGAGCCACCAAACGATCACTGTAGTTCATTCTTCGGCTGAAGAAAACCACTGAATCACCAAGGTAGTTATACTTGTATAGGGACATATGTAGAGGGACGCCTCTAGAAAAGCTCTTCTCAAACTATCATTGAGCAAGGACAAGGTTTTTTTTTTATTAATTTCAAAAACTATATATTAAGGTTTTTTTTAGAATAAAATAAATTCCTAGAAAAATAAAATTTTAAATAACCATGGAATACACAATCTCATATCTATGATTGTATTCAAAGGCATAGAATACATTATAATAAGTATTACTGGATTAAGCAGAGGAAACAAATTAAAGACTTGCAGAAATACACATACTGTTTCTTAAAAGTGTGCTGAGTGGTGTTTACTGTAGAGAATTTGTATTACATAGTGAAATAAAAATATTTTGCCAGCTTTATTTGTTCTGTGAGTTGGCTTCTGTATCCTTAACTACTCCCTTGTACATGTGATGTGATGTGGTCATTGTAAAATGGGCAGCCTGCCTAGGCATGGACTCCCACAAATAGCAGTGCAGGGTGGATTCCTCACTTAGAGCTCTTAGGAATAAATGGTCATGTTTGCAGAGTGGACTTGCTGTTTCTCTCTCTGGGTCATATCTCAACAACTGCTCCCACACACTTCAGTTACGATGTATCCACACATATTCCACAAGCGAAAGGCTGGACATGAGAAGAGGTTATTGGACTATTCTAGAATATTAAAACACAGGATAACAATATTATAAAGATTTTTTTGTTGTTTCTTGGGAACCTGTTAAGTTTGTTCTGTGACAGTATAAACACAAAACAATTCATTAAAACGAGGTCTAAAAACAAATATAAACCACGGAGGACATACTGTGAAATATGTTGTGATCATGTCCTCTTATACTCCTCTACATGGAACGGAAGGCATTTTCGAGAGAGGGGAGAGTTGTGAAACTAAATGTCTACTACGAAGGTCCACCAGCTACCCCACATGGGTCCAGCAGGCATCTCAGAGAGCCAGAGTTTGTCCTCAAGCTGACTCTGCAAGCCACACAACCTTGAGTAATGTTGTGTTAGCTCTCCCAAGCTCAGGCACCCTGCTGGTGCTCCAGGCTTGCTGCTCTAGTCTTCACACCACCTCTTGGAGAAGGTCCTTGAATCATCATTGTACAAAGGAAAAAAACTGGGTCAGAAGAATAAGACACTTGCTCCAGTCTGTGTAGTAGTGGATCCTATTCAACCCCATGTCTGCCCGATTCAACAGCCCAGGCTCTTCCCACCATGCTGCTTTGTGTATATATTGGGCTAAGGGGCAGGAACAATGCTAAGTAATGAGGACTGTCCATGTCTAGGGGGAGGTTGGGTTTGTTATTTGTGGAGCGTGAAGCACGTCTCCATCTGAGTGTGCTGTGCCCCAACCAGGGGTTCTGCAGAGACCTCCCTGCTCAGTGTCTTCCTTTCCCGGGATCTGAGTGCATCAGGCACGGAAACCTGGGGGGACCAGGAGAGTCAGCAGAGATGACTGCAGATCTATGCTAATCCCTCATTAACAGTGCACAGCTGTGACTCGCAGGTTCTCAATCCCAGCAGGGATGCAGGGTCCATGTCCCTGATGGCCAGAGAAGAGACCCATAAATCCTTCCCACCCACACCTGCTCTCCCCCAGGCTTACCCCAGGAGCACCTTTAGAGTCTCCAGGTCTCCTGGTGCACTGACTACTGAATGGACAAGCTGGAGCAGCAAGGAGTGGAAAAGCCCTGAGTAGATGGAGGCTGGACGCCCCTTCCTAATCTTTAATCCCACCTCGCCAGCAGAGAGGTGAGAGCTCCTGAACCATACGCAGCAGGAATTCCTCAGCCAAGATCAGTCACACCCTAGACAGTGTGTGGGGACTCCTGAAAAGCTCTCTTCCCTATGCCCTACCTGGATTTATCCCATAGTGAGCCAAGCACTGAAGGTCCTGTTAGAAGTGCCAATCCCCATGGGATGGTCTAGGTAGCCTCTTTGTCCTGGTGGAAATGTGTTGTTCACACCCTTTTTCAGAGAACAACTTTGGGGAGCCAAGGAGAGCATAGGTGGAGGCCAGCGTGCCAGGTAAGTTTGAGAAATAGGGTGAGGTGTCACCACTCGTTTGTCACTGTTGCTGGTCAGAAAAATGTGGAAGGTGAAGTTTGGGTCCAGGACCAGGGATTAAAGACAACACCCCACATTCTCTATTTTATTTGGAAGCAATCTTGTTTTCAACCCCCTTTTCTTGGCTCCATTGTCGAGGGAAGTTCCTTCTTTGGTCTAATCAGTTCTAATCTGATAGTTTCAGCCTGAATTTTAGCCATTGTTTTTTTTTCCATGTTCAGGACCACTGTGCTTTCAATATTCTTTTGTTCAGATCCCATCTCATCTTTTTTGTTTTTTAATATGGATTAAAGTTTGGTTGATCAGGTTAGGAAATTGAGAACTAGGTGGAAAGGAACTCATTAGGAATGGGCTCAAGGAATAATACAAGCATTGAAAGTCATAATTGCAATTTTATATAATATGCATTGGGTATTCACTGTTTCAAGCAGCATTGCTTTATTCATTTTTTATTGTTTTTTTTTTTTGGTGGAAAAAAGCATTTCATAATTCAATTCATATACTTTAGCCAAAACTGTTTTTGATGTGGCCTCCTCTCCATGGAGAGTCTGTTCTATTGATCTTCAAGTCATTCTCTGGGTTGATTCCGCTGATGTGATTGTTATCGAGGCATCTCCATGGCATGAGGTAAGCTGAGGATCCTTCTACTCTGCCATCTTCCCAAAAGTCCCAGAGGTGTTTATATATTTTACTTATCCTTACAAGATTGCTGTAAAGTAGATACATTTATTCTTACCTCCGTTTAGGTAAAGGAAATAAAGGCATAGAGGAGTTGAGTATCTTGTGCAAAGTCCCACAGCTGGTATGTGACAGAACGAGGATCTGAACCTAGATAATGTGGCCTCGGAGTCCACTCTAGATCCTAACCATTGTGTTGAAGTGGGAGTACATGGGAACAAGAAAAATGGACTGGTGTCCCTCTCACTCCCACCTCCTCCGCAGTCTGCATGGGGATCACGAATTCCGATTAAACCAAGGGTCAAAGTGCTTAATCGATTCCCACCAAATCATATTACAGAGCTGGGACTGAACACTTGTTGCCGGAGCTCAGTTCTTGACTCTTCCACTCTGCCTTCTTTCTGTGGTCCTGCTTCCAGCTGCATTTAATGTTCCTTGTTCTGCTCTTCCCTGGAGAGAATATTTGTCCCTCAAGCCCCTTAGGTAAGACACAATCTGTGAGCCATTCTGAGGAGAAGGAGGCACTCTGAGAAGGATCAAGAGGGCAGGAAGAGGGAGGACACGGGCTCTGGCTTGGAACCCAGGGGGACGAGGCAGCAGATGGACGGAGGTGTGTCTCAGCCTGTGGCTGGTTCATGCAGGTCTCTGCGTCCCTTGGGCCCCAGTGACTCATGTCAGGAAGAAGGTGTGCATGTGTAAATGGAGTCAGAAGGAGGACCCCCTCAGAGTGGGAGTGGAAGCCCAGGTCAGATGAGCTGCCGAATCTGTGTGGGTGGCGGAGTAGCTTCTCCCGCCCAGAAGAAAATTGCTGTTGAGTGAGTAACAAGGCAAGTCTTCCAGGAGCGGAAACAGTCTTGGACTGGGATGCAGGAGATGTTGTTCTTCGTCCCAGCTGTGTGTGACCCTAGCCTTTCTGTGCATTGGTTTCCTGATCATAGAAAGGGGCACAGACAATGGGATGGCTTTGCATGCATGGGCAGGTAGGAGAGCTACAGGGCCCCAGGCCATGGTTCAGACAGTCTCCTGCCTGAGAGCTCAGGGGGAGCAGAGATCCTACTGCCACCTCCCTCAGCATGTCCCTTGTGAACCCCTGACTCAGAGAGGACACTGGGCTGTGTGAGGTCTGGAGATGAGACGAGGGTCCAGGTGGAGAACAGAGTGGTCAGTGGAAGATGAGAAGCAACCCCTTGTCTATAGCTAAGCACAGAGCAGAGTCCGAAGTTGGAGGTTTGGAGAAGGTTCTCAGCCTTGTCTTCCTCCCCTTCTCTTAGCCTATGAGAGGAAGTAGAAGGAGCAAAGGTGTGGACTGTCGACATGGACCATATGGAGCAGTTTCCCTGGAATTTTGCCATAAGGAAGTATGCTGGTAGGGCCCCCACCCTGAGTTCAGGACTTTCTCATGGGACCCCTGCCCGGTACAGGTTATGTTTGCCCTGTGGTTTTTGGGAGAGACATTCCCAGGCCTAACCGAATCAACATCTTTCTTTCCTAGGAAAGGCTGGGTCTGTCTTGTTAATCCTGAAAGGATGTTCTCAGGGTTCAGAGGAGCCCAAGGGCCCCCATAGTGAGAGAGGCAAGACCAGACCTCATGACTTGGCAAAGCCATATTCTTCAGAAGGAAGTTCTGGTTTCTAAACCAATGAGACTAATTTGGGGAAGTCTATCCTGGTTTATTACCTGATTCTTCTCTGCAGGATATCAAAATGTGGGGGTGTGAGAAAAGGCCCAGGAGGCCGTGCTGTGGAGATGCCTGGAGCAGACACAGAGCATAGGATGCTTGATAGACCCCTACCCACCACCCCTCCGCCACCCTGGGCCACCCTATTCTCTGCTCACCTGTCCCAAGTTCCTCACTCCCTGGAACAGCTTAAAATACCAAATGCAATATCTCATGAAGTTCATGGACATAACTGTGGTCTTCAGGCAGAGCACGGAAAGCACATTTTGGCTTACATCCTTTTGGTAGGCTGTTCCTTATCCACCTAAACGCAGGTAAGGAAAGTTTGTTCACCTCCACCATTTTCACCTACACTGCCATAGTGGCACCCGGCCCCAGTCCCTTTCACTCCTGCCCAACCTTGATGGTCTGCTGTGTTCTCTGGGTGATTAGAACTTATCCGAAAAAGAGCCACAAAGCTGGGTCAGGGGATGAGTGTCTACACCGGTCAAAGAAGGAATTAATTTTCATGACCAAGGTACTTTGAAGTATGATGAATAGAGCTGGAGGGAGGGATGTCAAAGCCATGGGCAGCTGGGACAAAATACTAGACAAATTGGAAAGAATAGGCTTTTTGGGAGAGTAGGTGAGTGGCTTACTCAAGTTTGAGTGGCTGGCACTAGGAACACTGAGCTTTGACTCAGGAAGCAACTTTTTCTTTTCTTAGGATACATCAGGTGAGAGGCCAGAGGACTAGAGACTTGACAAGAAGGTATTGGGAAGGGGCTTTCTTGAAGGACAGGCAGTGGAGGCTGTAGGCATATGGATCTCCAATTAGCAGATCCATTTGAATAGTGGTGTGGGATGGAAATGTTTAGAGTGCTTAGAACAGCGAAGAGGACAGACTTCTAGGTGTGGGGAGGGCACATAGCTGAGAGAGACTCTGTCTGTGTAAAAAAGTCCCTTCTACCCCATCTCTGGAAGCACAAGTATATCACAGTCCTCTTTTTCCCACGCCCCACCCTGTCCCTTTCCAACCCCTCTCACATGCTCAGTCCTTTCAGATGTTGAAATCTATATCCCTCCTGCTGAGACCATTCACTGGGACCAGAGATAAAAGCTTAGGGGAACTCAAAGGTCTTGATTCCCTCCTGTAGCAGGAGCAAGATGCAGCCTGCCCTGGCCCTCTGGATACCCTTACTGCTGCTGTTCCTGGTGCTTCCTGGACAGCCTCAGGTACAGCCTGAGGGTGGAGGGATCTCAAACAGGTGGGCTTCGGCCTAGCTTCCCTCATCCCTCTGACCTGTTTCAAGAAGTCCCAGGTTCTGAGAGAGAGTGAAAGTGGAGAGACCTAGGGGTGTCTGGAAGGGGGATAGGATGCCCAGTCTGCTCTGATTGTTGCTGGGCTTGGGTAGGCTTAGGGTGAGAGAGGGAAAACAAGGATGAAGATGAGAGAGGAGGATTTCAGGGCTGTCCACCCTGCTCTTCTATGAGGCCTCACTTTCTGAAGAAATCTGCCACCCTTTTCCTAGTGAAGGATGCTGGAGCTGAGGCAGGCCAGCCTGGGCTGTTGTAGGCATGTGTCCTTTGCTTCAACATCCCCAAAAGCTAAACCACTGGGCTGGAGTTGCAGACTGAAGACATAACCTAATTAACTCCCAGGGCCAGAAAAACTAGTGTGGGACGATTCACAGGACAGGAGCCACACATCTTGATTCTTTAAGAATCTGTAAGGAAACCCCAGCTGTTTTATTTATTTCTTTTTTAACTCTCAGAACCTCTAGTTTTCAACTTAAAATGAAGAATTCAAGTCATATGTTGTCATGTTCTTGTGAGCGCTAAATATCAGTCCAGAGTCCAGTGCCTCACGGTGTTGTTCATATTCATCTCCCTTCTTTGACAATTTGGAACACTCTGTTCCTGCTGTCTTCACAACAAAATGAACTTGTGGGAATCTACTCAATCTCCAGAGTAGAGGTACTGTATCCCCTAAACTGGTCCCTTAAGACTTCTTTTCAGATCAGCTTTCCTCTTTTCCACAGAGCCTCAAGGAAGAGTCTACTCCCAGTTCTGTGAACTGTGACCAGAACCAGCCAGCGTATGAGGTAGGTGAGGAAGGCCCCACCTCTAGGAGCTGGAAGGGGGCTGTGGGATGTTCTGGGAAGTCAAGGGAAGGGTCACTCCAACTCATGGCAGAAGAGTCCGTCATGGACAACCTCCTGTGCCAAGAGAGCTCTTCTCAGACACTCCAGAGTAGGGTCAGCTCTTCTGCTTCATGTTCCTAAACAGCACATTAGGACCCATGTTTCATCACACTTAATGTGCCCATGGCCTTGCCTTTGCAGCTGGTGAAAAGGGTGCCAGGTTCTGTGGATGAGGATGGCCTGTGCCATTGTGTAGTTCACCTGCCCAACAACCTCATGCCCATGAATCAGCTGGAACAGCTACAGAGTATAACCCAGGTGCTCATGGACAAGTATGATCAGGAGCTATCCAGGGTAAGCACTGGAGCTATGGGCTGGGGCTGGCAGTTATAGGAGCACATTCTCTCCTGGATCCAGCATGAGGATGAGCCAGGGTGGTAGAGAAATTGCTGAAGGAAGCATAGCCCTCATCTTTGAGATGAATCCTGAGTATGAAGGAAAAATTAGGTGTCGTTCTTGGGATTCTCAGTGGCAGTCACAGTACAGAGAGGCTTGTGTAGGATGTGCTTCCTCCATTAAGAGGACAATTCATGGGTATAGGTGCAGTGGGAGATGGGAAGAGGTTTTAGCAAAGGAAGAGGAAAGTGGGATGGCTAGTGCAAAGGAGATGGAAAAGAGTTGGAGTTGAGTTAAAATAGGGGCAATATCTGGAGAGTCTTGTGGGCCAGGCTGGTGAGTTTGCAATCAACGTTGTAAGTAAGGCTGAGTGAATGGAAATGTGACATCCACCCTGTGATGTGGGCAGTAGCTTTTCGGAATGGGTACTCGTAGAGCCCTGGGGAAGGTTGATGGTAGAGGGCCTGGAAGCTAGGAGTCTGTCCATTCATTTACTCACCAAGACACTCCTGAAAGTGTGTCTGTAACCAGGAAAGGGGGAGAGAAACTGGGCATATGGGGGAAATAGTGATTTTTCCTGAGGTGAAAAGAAGGACACGAATGTCCTAAGCTGTGAGATGGAGATAACACTAATGCTCACCTCAATGGCTGTTAATGGAACAAATGAAAGTGACAGATCTGAGAGTATTTTGTTGGCTGTGTGGCACTGGGGGGCATGTGAATGGGAGAAAGAGCCACAGGTGTTGAGGTTTAGGGGTCCTGTTTGTCCATTCCCCCGCACCCAGGTCAGTGAGTACGCTCACACCATTGAAGGTCAGGATAACCAGGTCCTGGAAATGAACCGTGCCCTGAAGCCCAGGAATCCCATTGCTCTTGCTTCCTCCTAGGAGGCCCCAACATACAACTTGCTGCGCCTGGAGCTAGAGGTAGCACGGGAGTTGGTGACCCAGCTTATGGCCAAGGAAGGAGGTAGTGAGACTGAGGACCTCCTCTCTCAACTCCAGAGCCAGGTACATGGGGATAGATTGGAGAATCCCTCTCCCCTCCATAGTCTCCTGTTTTATTTAATCTCATAAATTTGATGATTTCCAAAATCACTTATTTCTGGGGAAAAAAGTCACTGAGCTGGGCAATATGGGAGCCTCACTTCAGTTCATAGGAACAGTCCATGACCCATATCCTTGGCATCTCATTTCCATAGGTGGCTAATGCCAGCCTCACACTCAAGCTTCTGGCTGACTCTGACCAGCGCAGCCTCCGTGCTTACCGCCAGGAGGTGGATGTTCTTGAGGGCCGGCTCAGCAATTGTGAGAGGGAGAAGTGGCAAGAGGCCTCTGGTCCACCCCTGCCCCCTGGTGAGGTCTCAGACTGAATTTATTAAGATCTCATCTCCCCAAAGACCAGATTTGGGAATAGGGGGTTGGTTATGGGGTACTGAGGGTTGGGCAGCAAAGGTCTTTTGCTTCCTTGCATGCTGCATCACTAAGGGCTGCAGACTGAGATAGGTACACTCTCACATACAGGCATACTAGTATGTACAGATATATATAAACACACCTGTAATCAGACATGTGCACTATCCTCTATTCGTGCAAAGTCACACCTGCTTATATAGCTCTGCATGCCCTCAGGCAGACAGACACATGCTGAAATGCACACATGGCTATTACACTTTCATTGTCCTCTCCCTGTGGGTTGTGTGCTTCACTCCTAGTTTCTACCTTGCCTGCTCTCTTCTGTAGGTTCTTGTGCCCACGGAGGCCTCCAGAAAGTCAGCCGACCCCTTGTGGTACAACTCAATTGGAGAGGCTACTCCCATATGGCAGGTGTCTGGGGTCGAGACTCAGCACCCGATCTAGACTCTTCCCTCTACTGGGTAGCTCCTCTGGGTAAAAATGGAAGGTGAGTTCAGGATGGTTTCTCTTTTGCAACCAGGTTCATTCCAAATGTTCCCTACCCTACCCTAATGGGTTTATTTGTAGCCCCAGCAGAGCTTCCTCTCTCCATTTTAGGTATGCCCCTGGACAAACTTAGCCTAGGCCTGACAAGCCACCTCCTAGAACTCCTCTCTGGATTAAGGAGGACTCAGATGGCCCTGAGCTCCTTCACAAACCCACTGTCCGAAATTTCCAATCCGATCATAATCCAAACTGGTTCTATCTATAGCCTGATCTTATTTCAAGAGCAAACTCTTCTCCACCTGGCCCTCAAAATCCTAGCTTCTTCTGAGGACAGTTTAAAGGATGAACTTGACCATACTTATGCCATGGACTCAAACAAAGCTGAGTTTGAATCTCAGTACTTAGAGTGAGTTTGGAAAATGCATTAATGTCTCAGACCCATTCTAGCCATTTGGAAAGTGAGGATAGTTAAATTATGAGAATATCATGTGAGATTCCGTAGAAAAGTGTGACCAGTATAATGGGTGCTAGTGGATGTTTTTTTAGATGATAAGATTGCTAACTGAATCCATGAGTAGATGAATGAGCCCTTCAATAACCTGGCAGCCTGGCTAGGCAGCTAGGCGCAACGCACAGGCAGGGGGTTTAAAGTCAGTCTATATAGGACTATGAGAAAGATCTAACTGAGTAGGAGATTACAGGAGGGTAGGATGAACATGGCTTGAACCTATCACTGAAGGGCCTCAGTGGAAGATCGTCTCAGATAGTGTTACTAATAACATTGCTCCCAATTCCTACAGGTGCTTTGTAGCAGGTGAAGCATATTAACATGACTTTGCTTTTTTAATCATCTCAAAATCTCTGTGGGCAAGGCAGTACTTACCAATGTCAAGCAGTGACAACACTCAGAATTCAGGGATAATTTAAAGAACTTTCCAAAGTGATCTCATGAGCATAGGTCTCCCCAAATCCACCTCCGAACTGTGTCCCACTCTGGGACACCAATGTCTCAGGGGCAGGTGGAATGCGTGGAGTCTAGGTATAGAAGAGTCTCCATAAAGAAGAAAAGAATAATAGCTATCCCTTGATGATTGCTTACTTGGAGAGAAGTATTCTACTAATTGGTTTATTAGCATTATTTAGGTCAGTCCTGATATCAATGAGATAGATTCTTTTGTTATTCTTTTTACAGATTTTAGTTATGAGCTGAGTGAGTGACTTTGAGCAAATTACTTATTCTTTCTGAGAACCAGTCTCCTAGTCTGTGGGAATACAACCTAAGTTCTGGTGCTGTTGCTATAATTAAATGAGATAATGCACTCACAGTGTCCATGAGGCCTTGTTGAGTTTGATGTCAATGTTATTGCTATTACTGATTTTTTTTACAGTTGTTTTTTGTCCCAGTATATTGTAAGTAAAAGAAGAGATTACAAATCAGTTCTGTTTGATTCCAAAGCTCCCGCTATTAATTAGAACACTAGCCTGCTCATTTTTATTAGCACTGCGTACCCTGATGATTCTGGTGTGGGGCTTCGCCTAGGTACTTTGACTACTACCGGCTGTACAAGTCCTATGATGACCTGGTACTGATGAAGAACTATGTGGAGAGGACGATGGGCTACGGTGATGGCAGCGGTAATACCGTGTACGAGAACTTCATGTACTTCAATTACTATGGCACACGTGACATTGCCAAGGTGAATCTCTCCTCCAACACCCTGGTGCTACGACGCCCATTGCCCAGTGCCACCTACAACAACCGCTTCTCCTATGCCGGTGTGTCCTGGAAAGACATAGATTTTGCTGGTGATGAGAAGGGGCTGTGGGTGCTCTATGCCACTGAGGAGAGCAAGGGAAACTTGGTTGTGAGTCGTCTCAATACCAGCACCTTAGCAGTGGAGAAAACCTGGCGCACCAGCCAGTACAAGCCAGCCATGTCAGGAGCCTTCATGGCCTGTGGAGTGCTCTATGCCTTACGCCCACTGAGCACCCACCAAGAAGAGATCTTCTATGCTTTTGATACCACCACTGGGCGGGAGCGCCGTCTCAGCATCCCGCTGGATAAGATGCTGGAAACGCTACATGGCATCAATTACTCCCCCTTGGATCACAAGCTCTATGTCTACAATGATGGCTACCTGATCAATTATGACCTCAGCTTCCTGGTGCAGAAGCAGAAACAATCAAAACCACCAGCTTGAAAGCTCTCTTGGCTTCTTCCTGACCACATCCTGTCACACCTGAGAACTCTTCTAGGCCCTGAGACCCCTGGGGTAGAGTATTGGGAGAATCATGTCCCCCTTCTCATAACTCCAGATGAATCGTCCCCCACAATGGCCATCACTCCTACTGATTGAGAAATGTTGATTATATCTTTATCATTGATAATTCTGTAGAATTGATAATTCTGTAGAACTGATAACTCAATCCTTACATCAAAGTTCTTTTTAATAATGGCCTATCTGGATTTGATTGTGGTTTGACTGGGAAACAAACACTAACACTAACAAACACCTCTTTACTAGAATCCTAGAATTGTAGGCACAGCATTCTAATTTTTAAAACAAATCTATTCTGTGTTTCAAAAACCAGGAATCCAGCTTTGACAAATATAAAATTCCATGAACTAGGCTTAAGATGATAAGCCTTATGTTGAGAGCCTCTGCTCCCAGTGCAGAGACCAGGGCAACTGGTCATTAGAATGGGATATAGAAGCCCCCTTTATTATCCTCAGCCTCCTTCAGGGTACCTGGGGAGTAAAGAGGCAGTGTCTTGGTGTGAAAATCAATGTTTCCCTGTCCTGAATCAATCTCACTTTGAGTGCAGTTGAGGGAAGGACTTAGGCCCGAGTCCCATTCTAGGAAGTAAGCAGCTAATGGCTGAGCATGAGGAGGGTCTGACGTGGACTGAGCTGGTGGTCTAGACATTCTCAATAGAGAATCCTTTGGTGTGACACAGGAAGTACCCTGGCCAACTGTCTGTAATATCTTTGCTCATCTTCAACACACTGAGAATATAGAGGCCCAGACACTCCACCTCTGTTACTTATCTATCTGAGTGGTTCAGCTCCCTCCCATGGGGTCGGATGGAATGTTCAAAATTTCAGATCCCAAAGTCTTCACAGTCACACAGAGGATACCAGAATACTTCAGGCACACTGTCTCATGCTTATACTTCCACATATACAAACATTCACAAATATACATCCAACCAGACATATGGGTTCTTACTCATTTGTACAATATTTCCATCTACGTAAACACAAATGCACATTTTAACATATCCACTAAGGGAAAATTATCTGCTGCCCAAATATAGATCAAAACTGCATGGAACTGAGAATCTGTTTTAGTTGCCTAAACCCGTCCTGTTAGGAATTTCACTACGAATCACCTCCACCATCACCTCTTGATCTACAGACTTTTCTCCCACTAATGCTATGACACAAAGGTGGGCACTGAAGACTGGGCTAAGACACTGAATCAAATCTTTCTAAAGATTCTGCTAAAATGACATGTAGAAAAGACCAAGTGATAGCTGAATAAAAAAATACTTTGCGAGGAAGGGCTCACTCAACTTTAATTTGAAATGCCCCTCAGGGAGCCTCCCCAGCTAGCCTTGCTCCTGCTTTTAGGATCAAGGAAATCAATCTCCACATGGGAGCACTCTCAGTTAAGTCCAGTATCACTAAACCTAGAGCCAAAGAAAACCATAACCTCCCTTTCCACTTGTGAACTTTGTCCTTGCTCCCTTTTCCTTTGTAAGGCCTCATTTTTTTGAGATCTCTAACAAAAGTAATAAGATCCTTCTTACAGGAGAGATTCCATTCTTACAGATATGCAGTTTTATCTATGGCTTCAGCAAACTCGACTTTCAATATAACAAGCCTGCAATCCCAACAGAGACACACACACAGCACCACAGACAAGCACACATCTCACATAAACAATCTGGTCTTTTTGTTTTTTAAGATTTTTAAAAATTTTTTAATTTGTTTGACAGAGAGAGAGCAGGAGAGTAGAAGCAGGGGGAGCAGCAGGCAGAGGGAGAGGGAGAAGCAGACTCCCCTCTGAGCAGGGGCTCAATCCCAGGACCCTGAGATCATGACCTGAGCCAAAGGCAGAGGTTGAACTGACTGAGCCACCCAGGCACCAACGCCCCCCCCCCCCGCCTTTTTTTTTTAATAGTTCCATCCTGAGAACTTTGTCTTCTATTTTCTGGAAAATGACCTTATTTTATTTTATTATGGAGATCTGGTGACCCCACCCCTACCCCCACCCCCACACATACACTTATACAAATATGTCTCCCTTCCCTAGCTGGTCCTGGCAGAGACTGTGAGACTAGAGTTGACATCACAATATCCCTTTTTTGAAGAGGTTATGGTGTTGGTGGGTGGGGCAGAAGGGAGGGGCAGCCCTGGGTGGAGTCATCTTTACTTAGCCCACCTGGTACCAAGTATGAATCAGTAGCCACGACAGGCTTCAGCTGGGCCACATCTGGAGAACTGGGGTGGGGGGTATAACACCGCAAAATACCTGACCCCAGCTGGTCACTCATCCCTTTCTGGGCACCAGGGAAACTAGCCTTTGGTCTAAGAACACGACACCTGAGACAAAGGCCAGCAGAAATATTTGTCTGCCCTCACCCTTCTGCCCCGGCTTCCACCTGCTCAACATCTGCCCTCCCACTGAGGTCCATGCCGCATGTCATCTCTCGAAAACCCAGGATGGCTCAGAGTGGGCGTCCTTCAGGTTTGCCTGCAGACAAGAACATCTCTTCAAGTGTCACCCGAGTGATAGTGAAGACAGCAGGCAAGCAGGAAGACTTTATGATAGCTGATGACACCTCAGTGAGGCAGTTCAAGGAGAAGCTATCTGCTCACTTTAAGTGCCAGATGGACCAACTCGTGCTTGTCTTCATGGGCCGCCTTCTCAAAGATCATGACACACTGAGCCAAAGGGGCATCCTCGATGGTCACACCATTCACTTGGTCATCAAGTCCAAATGCAGCTCCAGATCCCTAGCCCATTCCTCCCGGAAACTGCTGACCAAAGAGCCCTGCCACTGGGACAGAAACACCGAAGGTAACAGCAATGGGGTATACCAACCTGCTGGTGTGAGTCACACCCCAGTAGAATCAGCCCTTCTTGTGGAGCCTGATGCATCCAAAATGCATACCCAGGATCTGGAAGTGGGTAGTCTAGAGTATATAGCACAGATGCTACAGAATCCTAGTATCCAGCAGCTTCTGTCTAACACAGACCTCATGAGACAGTTCATCTCAGAACACCCAGACATACAACAACTAATGCAGCAGAAGCCAGAAGTCTCCCACATCCTTGACAATTCTGAGATCCTATGGCAGACTCTGGAGCTGGCCAGAAACCTTGCCATTATTCAAGAGCTAATGCAGATCCAGCAACCTGAACAGAATCTTGAGCATCCACTGAACCCACAGTCACACTCAGGCTTAGAGACAATGCCAGGTGGGGACAATGTCCTGGGTCAGAGTTATGTTGATTACAATGACCAAATGCTCAACAGCTCACAAGATCCCTTTGGGGGCAACCCTTTCACAGCTCTCCTGGAAGGACAAGTTTTGGAACAAGTTCAATCCTCACCTCCATCTCCAACACCACCCCAGGAACGACGGGACCAGCTCCCACAGCTCCCTACAACCCGAGTCATCTATACTAGTTCTTGTGGTTTATCCTCTATCACCTCAGCCAATGTTACCCCCAACAAGGTGAACCATACTCCTGGTGCCTATGCTACCACTATCTCCACCAAGAGCCGGAGTCATACCTGTCCCATTCAGCAGCTGGCTGCGGTACCAGCCTTACCTAGCATAGAGCTCACCCAGCAGCCCCAGGCAGAAGACAAAGATGCCACCATCTCTCTAGATAGCTCTGACCAGAAATTAGAGGATGACCTCCAGCCTTCTGATGAGCAGACCAGCTCCCAGATCACAGGAAGCATGATGCAGTTGCTTTTGAATAACCCGTACTTGGCAGCCCAGATGATGTTGTTCATAAGTATGCCCCAGCTGAGTGAAGAGTGTAGGCAGCAGCTGTCCACATTCCTGCAGCAGACACAGCTTTCCGACATGCTTATATCCCTAGCCAACCCTAAAGCATCACAAGCAATATTGCAGATTGAGCAGGGTCTGCAGCTGTTGGCCACAGAGGCTCCTGTTCTTCTACCCTGGGTTGCACCTTACCTGTGGGGCCTGGGTTGGCTTCCTGCACCCAGCTGCAGCTACCCTGACACAGTGCCCTGGGCCTGGGATGTGCCAGATATTGTTGAACCCAAACATCCTGAATGCTGCCACAAATCTGGAACAGTTCAGCAGAGGCTACAGTCCTTAGCTGGAGACCCTTCCCACCTTCCACAAGCCCCTGAGATTCGTTTCAGTCAGCAGATGGAATCTCTCCAGGCCATGGGATTTGGGAACCATCATGCCAATCTGCAGGCACTCATTGCTACTGAGGGGGACACCAGTGCTGCTATTTGCAAACTCAAGAGATCCCAAGGATTCTAACCACCATGCCTACTTATTACCTGCTTGTTACCTGCTACTGACCCATTTGACCACATCATCTGCCTCTTCCACCTCTTCTGATGCTTCCATCCAGGACAAGTCCTGGAACAGGAGAAACCAAGCAATACTTTCTCCACTGAATAATAGACCATTGGCCATGCGTAGAAGATCTGTCAATAAAATGGCTACTCCCACATGCCCCCATCTGAGGTTTGGCTTTGTTTCTTTTGCAAAAAAGGGAACTATCTGTGTTTGATGTGATATCCCTGTCTCACCTACAGTACATAATTAGTGCACACACATGCCACATGCATATATTAACATAGAGATAGAGAATCATAGTTTTTTATTTTTGAGAATCATCGTTGCATACATAGAACCACAAACTCAGACGTCATACCATGCTCACACACCCAAGGACATGTATATGCTTTGCACACATACACAAGGTCACATAGCCAAAGATTCATGTATATAGGCATATACATTCAACACATTGCACACTCAGCCAAGGGCATGCACAGCAACACACAAATACCTAAAGACACATCCACACACCCATGTGTAGGGGAAGACAGTCATAACATACCCATACAAAAGGGAAAATTACTATAGATAGACACATATATGTAGTCATAAAAACTTTCTTAATTTTCC